CCAAGCAGGCTCTGCACTGTCAGAGCAGAGCCCAGTGCGAGGCTTGAACTCACGACTATGAGATCATGACCTGAGCTGAAACCAAGAGTCGGATGCTTAACCAACTGAGCCACCCAGGCATCCCATAAAAACATAGTTTTAAAATGTACAGCTGAGAATATTAATTAAGCACTTGCTGTTCAGTTTTTATACTTAAGTGAAAAATAAAAATAAATTGATTTTTCATCAGTTATAATGTAACTGGGAAAGAGAAAAGTTAATATATGTGATAAATATAATATAATCACACAGTTAACTATATAGAGATACATTTTTCATAGGAGTCCTGAATGATGAAAGGTATGTTGGACTTATCTAATACTTAATTGAAGGAAGAGTGATGATTCACAGAGGAAAGGAAGGAAGGGCCTTTTAAATGCTTGTGGCAGATGCCAAATAAGCTTTGCCTGGAGAAGAGAGAACAAGTGTCTTTTGTTAACACAAGTTAGGGATCGTGTTGTCAATCCTTGAAGACAGGAAAATATCAGCATTAAGTTTGATCACAGAAGGCAGTGTGTTTTGGAGTTCTAAAGAAGAGTACCTAGTCAATGTTTAAAAAGATAGTCTTTTCATTACATGAGACAGATTAAAACTGAAAGGGGATGAAATATGGAAATAATTTTCTCTTTTTGCTTCCCTAATTTTGGGTCATGGGTGTTTATATAGAAAAATCTGAGAAATATTAAGATAATAGTTTATAAGACAGAAAGGTCCAAGATGACACATCATAAGTCTTGAGGAAAAAAATACATCAATACATAGAATTTTGGAAGTTAGAAAGTATAGGATTTTTAGAGTTTTGCTTGCTTTCTTTTTGCTCTTCCATGTTTCATACCCTCTTTGAGCTCTTTGTGGGAGGCAGTTCAGTGTTGTAACAATACTGAAACATAGCCTTTGGTGTCTAACAAACTTGTAGTTGAAATCTCAGCTCTGCAACTTACTTGAAAAGGTAACTTTACCTATTGGAGCATTAGTTTCCTCATTTGTTACTTGGCGGTAATAATAACAAACCAATTAGAGCAATGTGAAAGTCAAATATGAGCTAACCAACTCATAAAAGATAGCCAAACCCTGGCCTCCATACTCTGTACCTCCTATTCCTTACTACCACAGAAGAGAAGCCTTAGCAGTAACATAGTGATCTGTAAATATTTGTATGGCCATTAGACTAAAGTAGGATGGAACTTTCTTTGAATAACCCAGGAGTAGATTTAGGATCTGGAAATTAGATGGAAACAGATTTCAGGTCCATTTATGAAAGAATATTTCTAAGGATCAGACATTTCTCCAAGTGGAAAGTGGTTGCCTTATCATTAGAGGTTTACAAAAGCATCAGATGAGTGGCTGGAATAAATGACATTTTAAAAGTAAATTTCCAATCTTTACATTCTGTGATTCTGTGAACTTAAGTGATAAGGGAGACCCAACTCTATGTAGAAAACAAGTAAATTATTTAAATGACTGTGCTATTCTCAGCAAAGTGCACAAATATGTGTGTGAAAATCCTTTTCATCTGATGGTTGAAAACCATCAGTAATGATAGTATATATAAATCTATACCTTAAATAGTCTTCTTGATGATTTGGGGGGATAACTTCTTGTCTTATGTAATTTCAGTGCTCATACTTCAGGATAGGCACCATTTAGTCTAATGTGGCTTGTACCATAGAGAGCAAGGGAGAGAATGTTAATAGATTAAGCCAAAGAAATAAGGATCAGATTATGAGAAAGCTATGTAGGAAATAATAAGATTTTCTTTCTTAGGACCACAGAGAGCTGCTAGATTGCTTCAAGTGGACAGTAATGAAATTAGATTTTTTTAAATTTTTTTTTTTTCAACGTTTATTTATTTTTGGGACAGAGAGAGACAGAGCATGAACGGGGGAGGGGCAGAGAGAGAGGGAGACACAGAATCAGAAACAGGCTCCAGGCTCTGAGCCATCAGCCCAGAGCCTGACGCGGGGCTCGAACTCACGGACCACGAGATCGTGACCTGGCTGAAGTCGGACGCTTAACCGACTGCGCCACCCAGGCGCCCCGAAATTAGATTTTTTTAATAAAACCATTCTGCTATGGTATAGATGGGTAGGCTCTAACTTTGCATACTTGCACACCAAATCTTTAAAAAAAAAAAAAAAAAAATGGAGCACATATCCTTTGAGGCATTTATGTGTGGATTTGTGTGTGTATGTATACACATCAATATCTGCACTAATCTTTCCACAAATTAAAATTTTTAAGGTTGAAGTAAAGATGTTATAAACAATTTTTAAATGTCTTGCTAATCATGACTTCACTGCCAGTATCTTATTACACAGTATAGACTTTGGGAGATTTTATTAGTCATGATAGAAGCTATAAATCCATATTTTAAATGGTTTTCTTAAGAATTAAAATTTTTGGCCTGAATTCACTGTTCTTACCTATAATCAATAAAGTGCTCACACTAGCAGTAGCAGTGTTCTTCCTTTATTTGCTAGTGCTTACATTTTTCATATTATTCTCACTTTATGTCTTAACAGTACTCATTTAAGCCCATTGTTCATTTTGTGAGTTGATTTATTCAAATTAGATCATGTAATTCATAAGTTTAATACCTAATCTAACCGTAAGTAATGTAGACAATTTATAGGCAGTTAGTGTAACTTATTAATCTTTAAATTATCAAACACAAATGGTTTTATAAGGTTCATATAGTTAAAGCAACAGATAATTTTTCTCTTTTGTAGACTATCTTAAAGAATAGAAAAGAAAGAAATATTGATCTAATCTTAATACCAAAACCAGACAGAATAGCAAAAGAAAGAAATTTGCAAACCAGTCTTACTTACAAACATAGGTGCAAACATCCTAAATAAATACTAGCAAATTGAATACAGTGAAGTGTAAAAACATAATAAATAATGACAGGGAGGCATGGATGAGTCCACATTTGAAAAACCTCCATGATTTTCCACATTACCAAGAAAAAGAAAAAAGAAAAGAAATGTATCATCCTAATATATACATTAAAAAATTCTACAAAAGCTGATACATTTATAATAAAAAATACTTATAAAAATTAACAGTAAATGGGCACTGGCACTACCAAAAATATTGTAACCTAATGAGTTAAAGTAATGGACAAGACAACAATGTACACTGTTGCCAATTTTCAACATTTTCCCTGACCATAAGAAGTCCTGACTTCTGTAACATGATGAGAAAAAAATGGAAGTATGAAAATAAGGAATAATAAATAATGTGTTATAAGGAAAGAATGAACAAAATTGTGGTGGCTTATAAATAATATGGTTATGGATGTAGAAGTTATGAAAGAATAGGATACTTTTATCGGAACTGATAAAAAGCTCCAAAAAGGTACTGCTCACAAGATCAGTATATATTACTGCATATCAGCAACCACCTAGTTAGACAATCCTGTGTTTAAAAAATCTTATTGACAATAGCAACAAAAGCAGTAAATGCACCAAAACATCTAAGAATGAAACTAATAAACCATTTAAAACCTTATGGATAACATAAAACTAGTGAAGGACACAAATAAGACTCCCAAAATAAGCAATTGTATTTTAAATGGATGGACAGACTCTAAAAGATGGCATTTCATGCTTAATATGTTTACAGATTCAGTCATTCCCGTTAAAATTCTCATAGGGTTTATTGTCAGAAATGACTTGCCAATCTTAAAATTTATGAGCAATACTTAAAGAGCTAAGAAAAACTAAGGGTGGCTGAGGGAGTCACTCTAAAATGTATGAACACTTACTTGGTGCAGTAAAGTTAAAACGTGGTTCTGCTGGCCATATGAAAATGAGTAGAAAAAATTAGCAATCCGGAAACTCTCCAAACATTGGTGGAATCTGGTACAAGACGGAGGTGTCATTATAAATCACTGGGAAAGATGGCGTATTGAATTAATGGTTCCAGGGGAACTGGTTACCCATTGTAGTACCCCATAAAGAAAAAAGATGATTCCCATTTTACACCACTCACA